GCTGTTGTGTGTATAACATGTCTAGCTTTGGGTTAGCTCATAGGCGTATCCTATGCGCTAGTGGCGCTTGTTGGCTACCGTTGCACGCCAGCGCGGTCCAAGCTAGACCCGAAGCCAAGAGCCAGACCAGAACCGGTTGCCGCGGCCAGCGAAAAATGCAAGGGTATATATAGGGTATATACAAGTGTATCAGTATATATAAATATGTGTACAGCGAATTCTATATGCATAGCTGTATATACATTATGTATATGCGCTGCGACTTGCCTGGTTGGCAAAAGGGTAAGAAAAAAGACACGAGACATGGGTGCTCTAGGCGCGAGTGTCCGACCAGGAGATACCCTGTAAAAGCATCGAGCTGCCGTGAAAATAATTCAATCTAGGATAAAAGACGCATACAACTTTTGTTAAAACTTAAGATGCCTATAAACGATATACGATATAAAGAATATGCCATATACGATCGGATATACGATAAAATATATATGATATAGTGTATATCGTATATACTATATCCTTAATACTATATAATACCGGAATATACATACAAGCCATATGCGATATACTATATCCGATATACGATTTACGATAAAGTATCTACGATAAAAGACTTTGGATATCCAGTAAATACTATATGACCCCGCAATATATATACAATGTCCGATTTACGATATTGGACATATGATATATACTATATGACAGCACAATATAAAAACAATATACTATACACTATATACTACATCCGATATGCGATATACGATATAAGACTTTTGATATCCAATAAATACTTTATGACCTCGCAATATATATACTATATACTGTATATATTATATGACCTCGCAATACAAAATCTATATACTATATACTATATCCGATATACGATACACGATATACGATATACAATGTACGATGAACTGTATGGCTTCGCAATTGTATTTTTCCATTTGTTGCATACATATGCACATCTCTGCAATATGCCCGCTTTTTCTCAACCATTTTCAATTGGGTACAGGGTATTAAAAATCAAGTTTTGCATTTTCATTTAAATTTATTGGCTTTGGCTTTGGTTTTGGCCACGGCTACAGTTACGGCTTCGGCATTAAGGTTTGTTGCCAGGCACAGTTCGAGTTGCCACAGCCTCAGTCGCAGCGGATTTGCAACTTGTTTGCCCGTCAAGTGGCGAACAAGATTCTCAGCAGCCAGTTTTAAATATGGCGACGCACAACATACACACACTCACACACACACACACACACACAACACACACACAACACACAGCCCACAAAGACAACACTTGAAATTTGCATTAAAACATTTTTTCAGTTGCAATCGCTTTGACATTTATCTCAGCAAATGCAGAAAAGCAATTACGCCCGACTGACAGATACCCTGTGCACAGCCAAATTGTCCATGCGTGATGTGGACATTAAATTTCCGCAGCATTTAATTTTATATAGTTGACGCTTATTTAAGGACCCTTGCAAAATTTTGAGATCGGAGCACAAATACTAGGGTATTAAAGCCCATGTTTTTGACTATATCCAAGAAAATGCCCACGAACAGGGTATATGAGGTGCTGATAATGTGTCATCAATTTGTAAATGTAAATAAAAATATTTTTGAAAAGAAAATCCTCTGTCTCCCAAAAAGAAGATACAATTTTTGTAAGCATATTTTTTATTTTTGAAAATAATTTAAATATTGGGTTAACTCTGACTTAAAATTTAAATACTTTTTGTATTTATTAATTTTTCTTTTAATATTTTTTTATTATTATTAAATCTTAGTATAGAGTTTTTATTATTTATTTATTTTTTATATTATTATTTATTATTTATAATTTGAATTCTGTAATTAAAATAATATTAAAATAATATTTACTTTATGTTTTTCTTTTCTATTTGATTTATATTTTTTATTGTTGATATTTTTTATAGTATTAGACACATTTATTACATTCATTCACCTTTCCTTGTATTTGAATTATTTAATTTTTCAGTACAATTTATAAAGTAATAATTCAATTATTTAATGTTGATTTTGGCGACGCTTCCATTTTTTACCTTCGTGCTAATAATATATTTATTACATTTTTTTCACATATATATTGAAATATTTGCTAGCCGATTTATTTGCTTGCTAAAAAAAATTATATATATATTAACATTTTTGATATATTGAAAAACATAAAAGTTCTTCACATAAGAGCTTATTCTTGTGGCAGCTATATTATATAGTAGTTCGATCCGCCCGTTTGCGATATACATAGACATATATAAGACAGAGAGATTAGTTTGCACAGAGAGATAGACAAACGGACATGACCATATCGACTGGGCTATTGATACTGAACCAAGCATATATAGGCTTTATAGGGTGTAGAGATCTCTTCTACACTCTGCTGCCTAAATATGAACCGTTCAGCTTTTTTTTGGACAGTGTATAAAAATAATATATAAAAAAGGCGTCTTATACATTTTAGACATATAGACATATATACATTTAGGATCGATACAAGTTTGTAGCTTTTAGACAGATGAGTTTTTATGGTTTATAAAATAAAATAGTATATAGTTATAATAATGGAAATAGTAGCAGTACAAATATAACCAAATGTTGAACATTAAGACTAAAGTTCTTTAGATTTTTGTAATTTTGTTATTCTTAATTAAAGCTGAGTAGAGGGCCGTGCGCGGCGTGTTGTTGGGGGCATGCAGCTACATGCGCACCTGGAATTTGCCCGCTTTGGTTAGATATTTGACGCCCTTGAAGGGCTTATATTTCTCGCCGTACATGTCCAGGCGATTCACCTTCAGCCCGGAGACGGCCAGCTGTGAGATTTGGAATTGCACATTGATTGACGGATTGGCATCAAGTATTGGGCTGCCGGGCATGATGGAGACCTAAAATCAAAACTCACAATAATCGCAATTCGATTGACTGGTGCTTCAGCTTACCGAGCCGCGAATGTTTGGCAGCTTGGAGACATCGATGCGTCCGACATCCCAGGAGAGCGTTTTGCTCACCGAATCGAACGTGTATTTGCCCTGATTGGGCGTTAGCACGCAGTTGAGCACGCACTTGGGCATTGTTAGCTCTAGTTTGACCTTGTCGACGGTGCGGCCGAGCGTGTTCCGTGGCCCAATGGTCAAATCTAGGCGACCCTGTTCGCCGGTCTTGATTGAAAAGTTGTGCCGTATATAGATGGGTATGGCCACCACCGACTGCGAGCTAATGTGATAAGACATGAGCCGAAAATTGCCATCGGGCGGTATAAAGGAGAGCAAACGTTCTGCCTCCCAGCGCTTAAAGCGCACGCACGGATGAAACGACACGTCGTCGAAGAGACGCGGATTCATAAAGGACAGCGACAAGTCGGGCATGCCAGACAGCTTGATGCAGCAGTCGATCTAGTGTGGACAGTTTAGGCAGGATTAGAACCGATAATATATATATATATATATATATATTAAGTTTGGTCTACGTACGTGTCCCTGTATTTCAGCAAACACCGTGGAGCCGGATTTGTCAATGATGGCGTCGACCTCCTCGATGACATCAAAGTAGGCTTCGTTGTTGGTGTAGCGCACACCGCTGCGACGCCAGGGTATGGCCGACAGCTGGCCCACGGGCAGAATGGTGCTAACACTGCAAGCAAAAGGACATGCATTAGGTAATCCTTTAAAGAAACGCTTATAGGATCGGCACACACTTGCTCTTGCCGGTGACGGTGTTGGCGATGGTGCGCAATATGTTTGGCGGCTTGATCAGCTCCTTCAGTATGTTGCTTTCGGTGGACAGGGGGAAGCCATTGTCGAGCATCTCGTCGAGCAGCTCATAGACGACCACATAGTTATCCTTTATCACAGACTCGGAGCAGTCGCTAAAATAGTCCTGGAACGTGTCCACAACGCGATGCAGAAACTCGATGACAAACAGCGGCGGCACCTCCTGCTTGCAGGCGGCCACCAGTGAGACGCTGTCCCGCTGCACGGTAATCAGATAATAATGGGGCGTGGCAATAACAGGCGGCACATCCTGCAAGAAGAAGAAGGCTTAGTGTGCTGCATGGCAACGTGGCAGGCAACTTACGTAGGGTGCGGCACGCTGTGCATCGAGAAAGTATTCGCAAACGGAGCGCGAGACAACCGAACGCCAGTGCTTCTCTAGAAAGACTTCGCTGTCAGGGAACAAAAGGCATAATTCTTTTATTTACTGCGATAACTTGGCATATGCCAGGCCTGGCACATTCTAAACATTTTGTATGTCATGCTTACCCGCTGCTGTTGACTATGAACAGGCTGTGTATCATATTTGGTGTCTTGTTTACTATGTATGCATATGTTTAAAACAAATGCGTTTGCAAATATGAAATTGTTTACGTGTTGAATAAATGGAAACACTAAACAAACGTAGAATGTAACGTAAGGCTAACAGCGAATGTTAAAATTAACAGGGCACGTAAGGTGACAAAAGAGTAGAGTGCGCCATTTATGTACGTAATGCAGTATATTGAGCAAAATGGATGCAACATGTACGTGAAAAGGGATCTTAAAGAGCAGCAGCTGTACAAAATGGGTAAGGAAGTACTAATAACATTTTTTATTAAAACACAAGATGCAGCAGCTTAACAGAATGTGCTAGTCCTCTGCTATAAACAGCAGACAGTGCTTAACGCAAGATTCGGAACTCAACGCAAGAAGAGCTAACAGCATGTAACGGCTGTCAGTGATGTTGCCACTGCGTTGAACAGCTGTTCATCTGGACGACAGGTATGATTTGTCTTTTTGAATAAAATAATATAAAATTTCCTAATTAAAACAAGCATACAGACCTCTTTAGTAAAACACAATACGCCACGCAAGGAATTTCCTAAACCCCTAAGTACTAACAGCATGTAAAGACACAGCGTACTGACAGCATGTAAACACACTGCGTATTAACAGCATGTAAATACAGTGCGCATAGGCCAAAGTTGCCACTTGGTCAAACAGCTGTTTTAGCTACCCACATTTTGACAGTTGAAAGCACACAGCTCGCATTTTTGAATTATTTATTTTAAATCAATTTATAAATTAAACTTACAGTTAAGGAGCGAAGCTGCAAACAGCAGCGCTGACAAAATCAGTTGCTTTTAACGCACTGCACAAGCGTTCGCGTAGGCAGTTCGCCTGGGCAGCCGTTTGGCGGCCTGCTTATATAATCGCCGGATGAGTCTTTACAGCAGCTCGGTGCGACGTCTGCTCGACAGTTGGCCCGGCAAGCGGCGCTTTGGCATCTACAGATTCCTGCCGCTCTTCTTTGTGCTGGGCGCGGCGCTGGAGTTCTCCATGATCAAGTGGACCGTGGGCGAGACAAACTTCTGTGAGTGCCAGCGCAGCAATGGAAACTTTAGAAAAAATCGAATTCTCTGTTTCTGTACAATCCACAGATCGCACATTCAAGCGGCGCCAGGCCAAGAACTACATCGAGGAGCAGCAGCAACACCTGGCGCAGCCGCAACCCACAGCCACAGCCACAGCCACAGCCTAGGCATGCCCGCGGGCGTTTCATGGGGCCAGTACATGAAGTTTCTGGGCAGCGCCATGCTGGCCATGATGGCCGGCTCCCAGGCGGTGCATCTGTACTACAAGCCGCTCGAGGATTTGCCCGTCTACATAGAACGCGAGCGACATCAGCTGGAGCCACCGTCAGGTGACACAAAAGCGAACAGTTAGATTTAAGTGTCATATATATATATATATATATATTTGGAAATGCAACTAACAACTATGTAAATACTCCCGCCCGCCTGGTCGCGGCTCACTTGTTCTTCTCGTGCACCCGGCCATGGTTCTTGAGGCACGTCTGCTGTCGGAACGCCTGGCCACACACCTGGCACACATACGGCTTCTCGCCCGTGTGTATATACTCGTGATGACGCTGGGTTTTGCGCGAGGCGAACGACTCCTCGCAGTACTTGCAGCCGAAGGGCTTCAGCTTAAGATGCACCGCCCGGATGTGCGCCTCCAGCTCGAATTTGCGCGCAAAGAGACGGCCGCAATGCTCGCACGGCAGCTTCTCGGCACTGTGCATCAGCATGTGCTGGACGAGCATGAAACGCTTGGCCAAACGACGCCCGCACACCTGGCACTCGTGCATCGTGACACCTGGTGCGCCCGTGCCCGCAGCCGTGGCCACTGCGTCCTTCTGATGCTGCTGCATCGTGTGATACTTGAGCGTGTAGCGGGAGTGAAAGTGCTTCTGGCATATATCACAGAAGTGCTGTTCGCTGGCGCGCGCATTGGCCGCCGCCTCGTCGGCGGTGGGATGCTTGGTGCGCCGATGATACTTGAGATTCGCCGTCTGGTTGAATGTGGCGCCGCACTGCTCGCACACGTACTTGCGGGCGGGCGCGCCGGCTGTGCTGTGCTTGAGCCGCTTGTGCTTTTGCATGGCAATGCAGCTGATGTAGACGCGCTCACAGCCGGGCTGATCGCAGCGATAGGAGCGCTCCTGGGGACTGTGTATCTCCTTGATGTGCGTGTAGAGGCCGCCCATAAAGCTGTAGGCCTTGTCGCAGCGATCGCACTGGAAGGGTCGCTTGCTGCCCTCGTGCACCTTGCGCACGTGCGCCTGCAGTGTGAGGCTGTGCGCAAAGCTGTGCCCGCACTGCACACACTTGAAGCTGTTCTTCAGGCCCTTGCTGCGACGCCGTGCAGCTGGCTCCACGATGGGCTGCGGCTGCGGCTGCACCTCTTCCATAGCCGGCTCATCAATCGGATCTGGCGGCAGCTGCGGCGGCGGCGTTGGATTACCCTGGCACTCCGCTTCGAGCAGCTGCTCCGGCTCTAGCTGCTGCTCATCAGGCGCCGGCTCCTCGTACACAATCTCGAATACGCTGGCCGTTGGCTCTTCCACTTCCTGACGCGTCCGCTGCAGCAGCATGGACAGTAGCTCGGTGCGGCAAGCATTCGCCTGTTGCTGGAACAGCTCGTAGCCCAGCAGCTGCTGGTGGCAGGCCGTGCACAGCTGCTGGGGCAGCCATTCGCTGGTCAATTCAGTTGGCTGCCATTCCAATTGCTGCACCAGCAGACGCTGCAGCTCGGCGTCGATGGCATGCGCTGCCGGCACCTGTCCGTCAGCGTCCAGTTTCTGCAGACATGTCAGACAATTGTTGTTGGCCAGCGTGTGCATTGGGAGCAGCCGAGCGAGCGGTTGGGCTTGTGCGCACCTCCGGAACTGAAGGCTAAATGGCGCTGGACGATGGTAAACAAAAGGTTTATGTTAAAGTGCGATGCAGCAGTGGCACAACTGTTGTGTATTGTCGCTGTTACTGTTAAGCACGCGGCGTTGCCACCCGCAGCTGCCCACTGGCTGCCAATTGCAGGCGACTTTTTGTGTTTACAGCTTATTTAAAAGCGGTGTAAACAGGCACGTTCGCGCATTGCGTGCGCATTGACGCGATTTTGCGTTAACACAAAAGCGAATTTTAACAGTTTTAGAAACCGTTAGATTGCTTGCTCATAACATATTGCCGCTAAACTTTGGGCTTGTTAGAATTCATTAATTTAGCTTTGCAAACAGCTGTTACGGTCATCTCAGCTTTACATTAACAACAATTAATATAACTTGCCCACACCTCCACTGTTAAGGGCTTCTGCCTCACACTTTCCCACATTGCAGCTTACAGTGGCGCATAAGCGCATTTAACAGCGCCAGTGTTACCATATACTCGTCTTAAGTTTCGCCATTTTGTGTGTATTTTGTCCATTCGTCGCCGCTGGTCTGTGTATTTTGGTTTCCCATTGTGTTTGGGGCCCAAGCGCCAAGCCACTTACGCGTCCTATTGCTAGCATCAGCACAGCCAGTTGCATGCAGGCGTTCAACAGCAACGCACGCATCGGACCAGTCACAGCGCAGAGCGCACAGCTATTGGCAAAATTAACTGTTTTTGGCGCGCATTTCAATCTGTTGGCCACATGCAGCAGTAGACACAAGTTGTTGCTGCCCCAGCTAATTGTAAAGCGCATTTGAGAAATTCATACGACAAGTGACAGTTTTTTCTTTTATTTATTGAGTGAACTCTAGTTTTTTTTTTTTTTTTAAACATTTTGTTTACGTGACTTTGTTTGTGTTTGTGTTTAGAGTGTGTGCTGGGTGTTTACTTAAAACTTTGCACACAACACAACATGTAAATCCTTATCAATGGCGTCGAGCAGCATGCCCAAATACCGTTACAAATCCCCTGGCGCTGCCGGCACGCAACTCCATTGGCTGCACTGCCTCCTGCGGCTCTGCTTGTTTACCCAAGGTAAGTCCAAAATGGCGGCGTTTTGCCTTATTTATAATATGACAGCAACAGCTGCTGTTGTTATACGGTCTCAACTACTTAAAGAAATTAAAATATGTTCCGGAAGATTCCCCCACTCAGCGTTGCAACGACCACGCGTTTATGTGTAAATTGTGCAGCAGCACAAACAAGATAAAAAAAAAAATTAAGGGAAATTCTATTAATATGAAAATTTCCCAGAAAATATATTCGCACATTAAGAACGCAACATAAGCATAAGCCCACACATATGCAGCAGAGACCCACACACACACACACACACACACACACACATATCGCTCTCCTCTCTCCCCTCTTCACTCTACTAACTGTCCACTGCTTGTGCTCAAGCACGAAAGAACTGCACGCTGCCCCAAACAAAGGCGAAAGCAGCAGCATAAGGAGACAGACGAAAGGCGAAAGGCGAAAGACACAGAAGCAGCGCTGGGCGAACTGCAGCCGGACCAAAAATAACTTATAAACAAACTAGAAAGCCTGACTGCGCGATACTCTGCTCTGTTGCCAAAGCGGCAAACCGGGCTTAAGCCCCAGTTTTCGGCTCCACACTGAATCGAACTAGTTGTCCGTAAAGAAGCCGAGCCGTAGGACTTCTCAAATCTGACTATTTTCATAGCAACAAAATTTGATTACTTAAAATCAAGGCTGCAATTTCTATATATTTTCTATTATAGGCCTAACCTTAAACCAAATCAGAATTTTGAGCAGATCTAGCCCTAGCCTAACTATTTTGCTCAAAAAAAAAAATTGTTTGGCTCAAATCAAGGCTTAAAATCTGTAAGGCAGATCCAGCTGCAAGGCATCAACAATTTAATTACATCTTGTATTTTATTGTATAAAAGTTTTAGTATATTATCAATTTTATCATATTTTACCAAAAATTTTAACAAAGTCTGAAAATACAACCCAAATGAATTTTCATAAAGAACTTTGAAGATGAGTTAAGATCCTATCTAAAAACTTTTTCCACAAATATTTCATCCCAGCGCGTGACATCTTCAAAAGCCCCTTGTATCGTAAACTTAGGTAGACATTAGATAACTTTATTACAAATTTTCGCTTCGTAGCTCTTAAAGTTATCGCAGGGCGTTGATCATCAATCAGTCAATCAGTCAGTCAGCTTGATGTATGGTTTCTTTAGAGCGCGTAAAACCAATTTACTTCAGTCTTCCGCTGTAAACAGCGTATAAAAGTGCAAAGCAGGAAGAACAACAATAACAAAACGCACAACAAAAGAGATGCAAACAAGAGGGGGTGGGGGATATGAGTGGCTGGAGAGAGGAAGTACCTATATAAAGATAATCTGTGAAAAGTGTGAAGAAACTTTGCTCGCGCCGCTACTGCAGCTGCTCAGTTATTGTATGGCACTTCAACGCCTCCCCAATTCCCTCCTTACCCCCTTCCCGCCCGAAGTTCAGGCAAAGTATTTTTCTAGGGATTTGGCAAAGAGTTGGACTAAGGCATAAGCTGACTCTTGATTGACCAATGGCTTTGGCATCTTGGTTGACGACGATGACGATGACGATGATGGAGATGGAGATGGAGATGATGGTGATTGGGACGTAAAGTGGCTTTCGATTTGTTCAATTACATCAAACTTTTGCAAGTGCGCGAGAATATTTGCAACTTTGTACCAAATTACTTGGGAGTTACCTTTAGAATAGCTGGAGGCATTGCGACAGGCGGCTCTGAGGCTGAGAGAAAACTGTTTGCAACATTTCCATAAGTACAAAATTGATTTGTTGCCCTAATACTCATGAAGCTTAAGCAATTTTATTAATTTGTATTGCTTTATCTTAATGGGTTTGGGATTTTAATAACTAATCAAGTAAATTATGAGCAGTAAAGCACAATACACAACAAGGAGAGTAGAAAAGCAAGTTGGGCAACAAATTCCTTCAATTTACTTTGCTGATTTTCATTTGTATTTCAATTTCATAGCAAGCCATTAAAACGTTTAAGAATGCAGCACAAAGAAGAACATGCAATTGTAATGCTCGCAGGAGATTAAAGTGCTTGTAAAACACGAACAGAATTAGATGAGAGTAACAGTTAGAGAAAGCGAAAGAGTGAGAGAGATAGAGGGCGAAAGAAAGGGAGAGGGATAGCAGGAGGCAGAGAGAGAGAGAGAGAGAGAGCGAGAGAACAAGCGGGAAGGAGAAAGAGAGAGAATGCGAATGAGGAAGAGACCGAGGACAAGAGCCCCAGCGGGAGACAGGGAGAGAGCGAAAAAGATAGAGAGACAAAGAGGAGGAGAGAGAGAGAGAGTGAGACAGAGAGAGATAGAGACAGGAAAAGAGTTGGTAACATAATTCCGACTATTGATGGAAATATGTTGCCAACTCTTCTCCTCCCTCTTCGCTCTCACTATCTATCTCTTTCGCTTGCTTCAATTGCAGTTAAAATGAAAATGAAAAAAAGAGCACAAAAAATTAGCAGAAATAATTTATCAAAATAAACACATAATAAATTGGCAACAATCTGTCAGCCTTAATCGACATTTGTGTCCGAGCAAATAAACAAAATTGTTCCGATTTAGAAAATTCAAATAAATGTTTATTGCATTAAGTAGGCAGCACGTCCGACGGCTGCAATAATTTGATAAAATGATTATTTATCTTCGATACAGCAGGCATTACATTTGGCATTACATTTGATTTTATAGCAGAATACCCTATAAAACTGTTAAAGTGGGTAGTTAGCGAAGGGAATTTACTTTCCATGTGAATCTGTTTTTTTCTGTCCAAGTTGCATGCATCCGCTTATTAGCTCTGATCCGAGCTCGTTAAATTGGTCTGTATATCGTCTATATATATATTCTTGAACATTTACAAAATCCTAGTCGATATCTGTATATGTGCTATATATGCAGCAGAAATATCTGAATCGGAACTAGCTTATCAAGCTGGAAGGAATAATATATTATTAAGCTTTTTGAAAACAATAAGAAGTGAAATACTCTGGAGTTACCGAGTAGGGGATACCCCAAACCTTCTTCCACCAATACCAAATGCAGCTCCGTCTAAAGAAGGGGGAAAAGGTAGCTATAAAGTACAAGATACTATTCTAGAAGTTTCATATCAAAGTTGGTGACTCAAGATCTAAAAACCTAAAAGAAATGCTCAAAAAGTTGGATTTCGATATCGATTCTTATCGACTGCTTAGAAACGGGGCAAGTTATCGATTATCGGAAATAAAACTCGTGCTGTGCGTGCGGATCCAGTCTCCCTTTAGGATCTAGGATCTAGGATAGACATACGGACAGACAGAGGGACATAGCTAGAACGAAAGGGCATCTGCTAGTCTGCCATATTTACGTTGCATCTAAACAATCTCGCCTGGATCTCGAATCGGGATCAGCGTTTATTTATTTATCATGCCGACGTCTACTTGAAGATTTTATTTGTTTATGTCGTTCGCACAGTTAGCCAAAGAGAACTCTATTAATATATCTACGACTTAGTGATGGGTTTTTTTAAATTTTTTTTTTTTTGGCTGGAAACAAAATTTTAATTGTATATGTGGAAGACAATCAAACACTTCTTCTCTCACATTGGCTTATAATTTAAAAATGTATTTTAGCTGTATCTGCTTTCGCCCGAATGAATGCAATAAATGTTGTGTTTTGGACAGGCTTTGACGAATTCTATATTTATGATTTATATAAGTAATTGTGCGACATTTTTCCTTGAAAAAGGCATCCAGCCAGGCCTGGCGCCCCATGCTACATGCCACATGCCACGTGAGTCAAGAGGGTACAATTTTTATAAAACTGCTTCTCAAGCATTTGGTGCTCAGTTGAAGGTCTTCTGGTCTGGCAGCCAGAATGCTTATGTAAATGGTGCTACCGGAGCAAGTTGTTCTTTCCTTCTTTAACTGGCCGTTTCCCAAACTGACGCGCACACACACGTGTACACACACACATCCCCCCCAAATCAAGCACGGAGCAGACAGCCCCGTGAGAGTTGTGCACGTTGGCTTTGACGTCCGTCTCTGACGCAGAAGTCGCCGTAATCGTCTTAGCTGCAGTTAGCCAGCTAGCTACCTGCACGACGGGGCTGCTCCTGCAAATGACAGTTAAATGGAGCGATACCTAATCAGGTGCAACAACAACAACAACAGCAACAACAACTAGAACTCGCGAGGGCCAGATCACAGTTACAGCTTTGGCTACACAGTGAAAGTTCTTGCTTTCACTTCGAAACGATTTATTAGTTGTTTTTTTTATTCATATTATTTTATGTATGGGACATACAGCTTGGGAGTTAAACCAGCATCTTGATTGCTTGGTAGTTCAAATCACTTACCGATTGCTTTATTTTGGTTAACTTCTATAAGGAATGAGAAAATAAATCTGATTGCGTACTAATTTTGTAAAAGCCTTATATATATCTTAGATCATATATTTTATTCCTTATACCTTATACCTTGTACCTTGTACCTTGTACCTTGTACCTTGTTCCTTGTTCCTTGTACCTTGTACCTTGTACCTTGTTCCTTGTACCTTGTACCTTGTACCTTGTACCGTGTACCTTGTACCTTGTACCTTGTACCTTGTACCGTGTACCTTGTACCTTGTACCTTGTACCTTGTACCTTGTACCGTGTACCTTGTACCTTGTACCTTGTTCCTTGTACCTTGTACCTTGTACCTTGTACCTTGTACCTTGTACCTTGTACCGTGTACCTTGTACCTTGTAGCTTGTACCTTGTACCTTGTACCTTGTTCCTTGTTCCTTGTACCTTGTACCTTGTACCTTGTACCTTGTACCTTGTACCTTGTACCTTGTACCTTGTACCTTGTACATATATAAGGTACAAAACTTTCTTAAGACTTGTTCAGATTGTTTTCTCTTGTTTCCTTATTTCCCACAAAAGCAAACCAAAATAAATCAAAATGGAATCATATTTAGTCCTAATTGGGTTGAAATACAATACGTAAACATTAGAGCCACGTACGTTTTT